ATCAGGGCTCATGGGGCAGAGGTGATTTCTTTCATTAGACCCACAAGATTTTTGCAAAAAAGAAAAGCGTTCTGCACAAGAAAATTAAAGACTTTTCTTTTTTTGGTAGAAGTCTTGTTGGCCTAATACAAGATATCACCTCTGTCCATGAGACCTGATTATGCAAGAGAGAAGAAGGGCGAGACGCTGCAGGGGCAGCGCGTGTGCGAGAGCGCGCGAAAGAGCGACGAGGAGCGAGCTCCTGCCGGCGGGCGTGCAAGAGGAATCCCCTGCTGAGGCAGTGCGTGTGCAACAGAGGGAAAGCCCGTGGGGGGCCGTGGGTGTGTGCAGGTGTAGGTACGTACGTGTGTCAGTGTCCGCGCACGTGAAAAGCGAGGACTAGAAACCCCCGCCGGGCTGTGCGCGGTATCAGGCCGCGGGGCGGTCGGGCGCGCGGGCGGGAGTGGCGCGGCCGGCTGCCTCCTCTCGCCCCGCCCCGGCGCTGCTCGCAGCCTTTATACAGAGGCGGTGGCAGCGGCTTCGCCTCGGCTGCTGCGAGCCCGGCCGGCCTGGCGAGGCGAGGTAAGTCCCCCTCCCTGGGCGGCCGTACCCGGCTGATCCCCTCGCACCACAGCGGCGCGGGGCGCTTAGGGGCTGCCCCGAGGGCCCCCGCGCATCCCGGCCCGCCCGGCCCCGCACGTGGGGGGCAGCGGGGCGGTGCGGAGCTGCGGGCCCGCCCTGCCCTTCCCGTTTTGGCGCTGCAATCACAGAGCGGCGGTTGCCATGTTCGCTGCCATCTCCTTGTCCTCTTGTGCTGGCAGCGCTGCAGTAGCCTAGTGGCCGGAGCCACTGGGAGCGCTGAAAATGTAAGGGCCGTGTTAGGCAGTAGTTTGGGGCAACGCTTAACTCCGGGACTGTCTGCCTGTTAACACTTTAAGTGGCTTAAAGCGCTGGCTGTGTAGCTCAAAGTTGCGCCCGGCCGGGGCGGGATGATCCCTTGATCCGCATAACCCAGCTCCTGTTCTGTCGGGGTGTGAGCACTCCTCACAAATGCTGCTGCTCACGTTGAAGGTGTGAGTGCAGCCTGGCACTGAGGTGACCAGCAGATGCACAGCTGGCAGTGCAGGGAGGCCCTAAAGCAGATGACTTGCCTGGCTGCAGGTGGCTAGGTTCGGGCGCCTTCTGCTAGCTGGGAGTTAGAGGGGAGTAGGGGGATGGAAACACTCAGGCACTCAGGAAAGCAAAGTCATTCTGAGCTGCTGTCCCCAAGTGACTTTGCAGCAAATGAAGCTGAGAGTGGGTTTGCTTTCCTCAGTGCCTGAGTGTGCTGAGTGCTAAGGGCTGAATGGACTTTAATTGCACTTCCTTGGCAGCAGTGGTGCACATCCTCTCTGAGAACAGGGGGAACTGGTATGTGCCCCATTTACTTAATCGATTACTTGTGTTCCTGGCAAAGAGACTTCTATTTACAACAGGTTTTTGTGTTGACTCTACAAAGACATGTTTTGCCTGGTATACAACCAGTAAGGTCTGCTCGCTCCAAGTGCCCTAAAGGTTCAGCCGATCACAAAGAAAACCCATCATTTTGGTGTTTTACCTAGTTCTTTTATCAGAAGCAGGCGAGCAAAAGGTTTTTTCCTGTAACAATTTCTGGAAGTTGAAGGGTATAACAGGTAAAACTTCATTCTCTGTTAACGTCTGAGTCTGGCTATGCTTGGTGCTGTACCAAGTTGCTAGCTGCCCTGAGGATCTTGTGTTGGGGAAGCATCGATAGAGTCTAATGTTACAAAATCCTCTTTTTTACAGAAGCATAAATCCCCTTGTTGTATTTTCTAGAATAACTCTGATTTCACCAGCTGTAGTTCAGGAGTGCAGTAGCAAGTTGCCTTAAGCATTTGGCTATGGATCCGAAGGCATTAATTAGAGCCCACCATAGTTTTATACCAGAGGCCATACCCAGTCAACCTCAATGTAAATAGGTGCTGAGTCACCTGGGCAATAAAGGGAAAGATGCATGGATGTGATGCTGGGCACCTCACTTGCTGAAGGCCACAAACTAGTATACCTTAACAGTTCCCCGTGGGTCACCAAGGCTTGAGTAGATATTATTATTATTATTATTATTATTATTATTATTATTTCGCCCTTATGAAAGCAGGGAGTGCATTACAGAAGTACATTATCCACTGTGGGGCTTTCTGAGGCATGATGGGGAAGCTGTGGGATCTCCTTCATTGGAGACTTTCAACAAGAGGCCAGATAAAACAAGGAGCCCTGCAATCTGTGCAGGAGATTAGACTAGGTAGTTTCTTCCACCCCTCTGCCTACATCTGTTGTGATTTGTGTAAAATGGCCAGCTCTGCCCAAGACAAAACCATTCTGGGAGGAAGGAGGTCTGTTGCTCTTTGATCAGGTTCCAAGAGTGACTTGTGGTCCATAAATATAAGTTTGAGGAAGGTTTTCACTGGTTGAAAATGAAAATTACAGGGTAAGAGTTAGCTTGTGTTATTGGGGGCATGGGGGAAATCCTCGCTAGCTGAGGGCATCTTAACAGCATTCTTGGAAAATGGTGCATAACTTGAATTCATATAAAGGTAATGCACTTTACAGTGTAACAAATAGGGATACGTTCCAAGATGTTGACACTACTGCCCCCCAGACCCACTTCTACAAGACCATTTTGGCACTCACCAACAGCAGACAGTACACGCAAGCACAGGGCACCATCATAATGGGGACAGCAACTACAGAAACGTGTTGCAGACAACAAGCGAGGAGCACAGATCCACACAGGAGACTCTATTTTGGTGCACGTCACTCCCACAGTGCACCACACAAAGCAGCTGACTCTGCAGGCTTCCACCACATCGATTGCATAAGAGTGAATTTACCTTGCATATAACAAATTTTTGGTATCAAAAGGGTCATCACATATTTGCACATGCAGAACCCGCATAAAGTGAGGGAAACCTGTAAACAGGTTCCTAAACCAATTGCAGAATAGGAGCAAGTGTCTTTAAACACTGCTTTGTAACACAAAATGTCTCCAAATGTCTGCATTGAGTGTGTGGGTGTCAATTCTTAATTTAAATATTAGTGACTACTGATTTAATCCTACAGTAACATGCTGGGACAGAACCTGAGTATTGTCATGACTGCAACTTGTAGTCATAGAGAGCGATTTATACTAGCCTGATGATGAGAGAGTCCTTTTGGCAGGAGCATGCTGGAAGTCCAGGTGTACACTCCTCAGGAGAGGAGGGTGGCTGCCAAGAACATGTAAACTAAATACCTCAGAATTACCTGGCACCATTGATGAAAACATCTGGAAGTGTTTAGTATCACTTCAGTATTTTTAAAATCATTGAAAGCCTGCTAAAACCAGCAGCAGGATAACAAAGTTCTCCTTACAGCTTTCATAAGCAAGAACATCTTTCCTGCCCCTCTGGGAACTCAAATATTAACCTACCTGTGAGGCTTTCTGCTTCAGCAGAGATCTCTGTAGGTTAATATGGACAACCCCCTACTTAAATGGGTTGGTTGGGTGTGATTTATCCCCCACTTATTTTATGGACAGAACTACAAACTTATCTCCTTCCTTTTGATGTCTTTAACCATACAGTAGAAGACAGACTTGAAAGATGAACAATCTTCTGCTTACAGATAGCTTAAGCTAACAGCATAGCTCCAGAAGAATATGGATGGTGCTGCTATATAAGAGTGCTAAAAGAGAAGGCCGTTAACCTTTAGTGCATCAAGGTTAAGGAAGACCATGATGTGTCTGGGTGCATGTATAGCCTTTACCACAATTAGGTGCACAATTGGGGAATCATTTAATGGACTGTATCCTTTTCCTGCCCTGTTTGGAGTAGGGCAGTGCAACCCCCTCTTTACAGCTGGGGGCCGTGAAGAACAGGCTAGATAAAAAGGATTTACAAGGAAGTCTGGCTGGAAACTGAACCAAAGTCTCAAATTCCAAGCGAGTGCCTATCACTGGACCACACTTCCTCCTTCCTACAAAATTAAGAATGAATCATGTGCACAGGACTTCAAATATGAAAATCAAAAACAAGAAGCAGGTCTGCTTGTGAGACCAAGGAAGAAATCCTAATTAATAAACGATTTCTACTTGGCTGGTTCTGAAAGGCATTCAACATAGAAAAAAATCTCTTCTCTATTCTGCAGTTAGTGTGTGAGGGTTTGAAAAAAGAACGCAGCTTATATCCATCTTACTGTGGGTCCTGTTTGCCATGATCCGTGTCAGCTGCTGTGTGGTAGCACAGCCAAACACTTGAACAAAAGAAATGGAATCTTAATTTTTAGACTCTGCAGTGAAGCCAAGAATGACGACAAAAAGTAGTGGTAAATGTCATAAAACTAACTTTATGAGCTTGTGCAAAATCTTAGTTATTCCCAAAATCATGGAGAAATGGCCACATTTAATTTCTTGAAAATATCTTACAAAAGAATTGCTCACTACTGAGCATCTCCAGCTCAGTAACGAGCATCTCCATTGTACGTGGAACTACTAAGGGACTTCTGTATTGCACAACAGAACAACTTTTTAAACTTTTTCTTGGGAATTTGCTAAAGAAGCCCCAGTTTGAGTTAATAAGTTAATCTTATTTCCCCACATTTATGAGTGGCTGTTCTGTTGTAGTGGTACAAAGGTTTCTTAAGAGTTACTTAGTAGCATTCCTTTGTTGGATATTGTGCCACCCTCTCCACATACTCCTGAAGGTTAACTTTTACTACAGAACAAGTGGAGCTGTTGGAGAACTAAACGCAGCAGGATGCTTAAGACTGGTGTTCCCATTGCACTTGGGAGACACTTAGCCAAACTACTTCAGGCAATGCCAGCAGTGAAATAGCAGCAGTGCAGGCTGACCCTTGGCCAGGCAGGATACCTGCAACACCAGCTGAAGCCTAAATTGCTGCTAGCCTAAAGTTAGCTCAGCTGTTCTATTGCAGCATGCATGTACATCAGGTAGACAGAAGGAGCAACAACAAACGGAAGAACACAGATATCAGGGGAGGTAAAAAGAGGTGGTTGGAAGCAAAAGAGGGACATGTACACATTTATAATAAGGAGGGGTAAGCATTGGTTTGGCTTAAAAACAAGTTCAGAGGGGAAAGGAAAACATGTAATGGGGTCTTGACTAATTCCTTAGCATGCCTTGGTTCCAAGTATGGTCCTCAATACAGTATAATTAGCATGTGAGTTCTTTCCCTTTGTCACACACCCTAGGGGAGGAGTGAGTAGAGGGAGAGAAGGAGGCTGCATTCTCTCCTTTCAAAGAAACTAAACTTCCCTACTATGAGCTTGTGCAAAATCTTGTGGGGGCACTTCTGAATGTAACTAATGGAGACTTCGTAGTCTATGGCCAGATAACAGTTGTCTCTCTGCTGCGTACTGGATTGCCAAAATGCAACAGAATAAAACTGAAATAACCTATCAGGTTTACAGTTGTCACTTAGAGCTCTGTAGGCAGTGACAAGGGTAAAGGGTCATGTCTACTTTGTGCTGCCTCCTAGAAGAAAAAGCACCAGAAGCAGCTAAGGCAAGTAATGAGATGCTTTGTTTTTTGAGAGGGTCATTGGTGTCCAGTGGTCAGAAGGGAGTTGGAGCATTGTTTTGTGCTCTTGCCAACCATCATGGTGAAGATGAAGCTCACAGCACACACTAAAGAGAATTTCCACTAAGTGGGGGTAGGAGAGATACCAGGATTCACCTCTAGTTTTCATTAGGATAGTGTTTCACAGCTGACCAAAGATGTGCACAAGAGGAAGCTGGTTGCCTTTTAAAGGCTTAATATATTGATGCTTCACGTGTGCAGACATGCATATAAATAGATTAATACTACGGCACCCATTTAGTGTATATATGGGTGAACCTGCATCAATAAAATTGACTTTAACACCCTTTTCTTCTTTTAACACACTCTCTCTCTTTTTTTTTTTCTTCCCCTCTCTGTCCCCTTGCTCCCCCCTGCCCTCTTTCCCCCCCCCAGTTAGCTGCAGGGTTTCTTAGTAAAGCACTGAGAGAGATCCCAACTGGGCTTCTATCTTGTTAAGCTGTGTGAAGACGGTCACAAACCCTGTCCCAAACGATATCCAACATTTGGGGTGGTGGGGGAGAAAAAAGGTAGGAGCAATTAGGCCTCACGAAATAGCTGAACTCTGAATTGTCGTTAGACTCCTAATCTGTACATCTCTTATAGTAAAGCCCTCTTCCAGCTAACTTTATGTGCTCGTGCATACAGTTACCTTGGTAGTCTAGGGAAGAACAAAGAAAAGAAAACTTGTCAAAAGGCAATGTTAGCACTTGCCTTAAAGGCAATGGCCTTTAAATAAATTGTGGTGCTGCCTCAGAGGACTACATCTGTAGCCATAGCTTGATCCTCTAGCTCAATAGCTCCCACCCTCTTTCAGAGTTGGAGGAAGGGCTGTGGCACATGGCTCGCTTGCCTCCTGCAGTGGGTCTCTGATAGCCGAAAGCTGATGGGAGCTGCCTTGTGCTGCGCAGCCCATCCCAGTCCAGCCCTCTCATTCTTATCCTGGAAACAGATATGCAGGTGGAACTGTCCTGCATGCCTGTTTCTGGGAGGATGGCAGGAGGGGCCAGACGGGGAAGGGCTGTTTCTGACTCCTTGTACAGACAGTCAAGAAGCCTGAGGCAGAATCTGTGGCAGTGTCCTTCAAGCTGCGTAGGTTAAACCAATAGCCAACTGCACTGATGTTCAGTTTTCAAATGGGGAAGGCGTGCGCTGACCCAGGCCAGTGGGCACCAGAGCACATCTCCCAGCCTGCTGGCCATTGCCAGCCCAGGCAAGTGTCCCTGATTGGCTCCCCAGTACATGCTCCCAACCTCCTGAGTGTACTCTTCTCCCCCCCCCTCCCCCCACCTTCCCAGCTGCTGTCTGGATGTTGGCCCACCTAGGGGCAGCCTCCCTGTCAGGGGGTTTCCCCAGCCCAGACAGCCCTGGAGAGCCAAGGGAAACACCCCTTTCCCCCAGTTCCCAGCTGCTGTTTGCTTCAGTCACTGCCATAGGAAGAAGTCCTTCCAGCTGGGTGCCTGCCCATGGAGCCCTGCATGGGGGCACTGGGGAGACCCCACCCCAGCCCAGAGTCCATCAGTCTGCTGCCAGTCTCAGGGATAGCCCAGATTGGCTTCAGGGAACAGAGGGAAATTCTTCCACTTCACTGCAACTAGTTTTTCTCAGACTTGCAGCAGCTGCGGGAAAACTGGCTATGGGAGAGCAGGAGAACTTCCCTTTGCTCCTTGAGGCTGCCTGGGCTAGGGCAAGCAGCTTTGTGGTTCTGGGGGGAGGGGAGAAAGGATTCCCTCGGCTCACTGAAGCTGCCCTGGGCTAGGGTGAGGGGAAAGCCCCCAAGATGGGAGTCGCCTGATGCCCCCATGCTGGGCTGCACTGGCAGGCACCTGACTGGGAGGATGTCTTTTCCTTCCCTCCTGTGACAGCAACTGAAGCAATCAGCAGCTCGGAAAGGGAGAGTTACTGAGTGTCAAGAAGCCCCCACCACATGCTGTGTAGCCCCTGGGTGGGAGGGCACAGGTCTAGGGATCTGTTCCCCTGCCCCTACCCCACCTCCCTATGCGCTGATGGATGGACACGGGCAGGAAGCAGGCTAAGGAGCAGAAGGGTGAAGCAGTCCTTGCTCCACTGGAACAGGCAACATAGCCCTGGGATGCTGGGGGACTATGAATTAGTTTGAACCAGGAAGGATCTGGGACAGATGTGCCATAAACCAGTTTGACCTAAATCCATTAAGTCTGACATTACATCCAACCAGCCCAGCCAGGCTTATCTTAAACTGGTTTTGGCCACTTTCAAACTGGTTTATGTGTGCTGAACTTCTGTTACAGGTTTAAATCAGTTTCTGATCACTTAAACCGGTTTATGTGCAACTTCTGTCCCTAGCCCTTGAGGCTGATCAGAGCCTCAGTGCAGCAGGAGGGCATGCAGGACAGTTGTCTGTTTGTGCACCCATGAGGGGGGCTCACAGCACCTTGGCTGAAAATGTAGTGCTCTAGCCAGCAACAGTGAAAAAATTTCACTTCGTAGAAGTGAATAGCTTAAATATCAAACCAGAAAGTGATTTCCTATAGCTTTGTATCTTAACAAGACCTTACTAAATGACTGTAACAAGCTAATGTTTGGTTCTACAGTCTGATCATTTTTCTTTAGCAATTTCTTCAGTAACTTGGTTCAGTGGCTGTACCTGCTTGAAGACAGTAGGAGTTCACGTAAGTAGCAATGGGATGCCTGGGGAACAAACCCCTATTTGCCACTACATTTCAGAGAAACAAAATGTACTTATTGTCCTAGCAAATGGCTCTCTAGTGAGGTGAACCTTATGCCTTATGCTGTATTCTAACTAATATACTCTGCAGTAAAACAAAATGCCATTGTTGGCACAATTGGTTTGCTTCCATCAGAAGAGAGGCCTGGGATTAATGAACCATGGAGACTGAAATTACATCCATCTGGGAGGGTGTTCATTCATGGTACAGTAAAGCCCTTATGCATGCAGCTCTACTTTGTGCATATCCAATTTATGTAACCTTTCAAAATCCTGAAAAGGGAATGTAAAACATATTTTCCCAAGCCTGTATCTTATGTTTCTGTGTCGATCAAATGTAATAGGGCTTGATGCATACAACAGTGAACTTCCTAATAGGAGGGCAGGACAGGGAGGCTCGTGTGCGCTTAAGTCTGTTCCCTTAAGCTTATTTGGAGGGTCATACTGCATTGCAGATCAGCGTGTACATGCACACGCAGGCTCTCTGACCCTGTGGGTTCTGTTCCTGTAGTGTAACAACACAATGACAAAACATGTTCTGACTACTGACAATGCTTTCTTGTATAACAAACTCTTTAAGAGTCAAAGAATTTGGAAAGAATAAGCCTGGTAGTTAGGCACAGCACTGTCTATAACCACTGCTGAAAAACTCCAGTAGTACCAAGACTCTTAAAACTACAGCTCTGAACCATTAAAAAAAAAAAATATATCTTGTCACTTGCAATTTGTGTCACTCCCACAGAATCAGGATGCCAAACTGGGGAGGAGGTAACAAATGCGGGGCCTGCGGCCGGACAGTCTACCATGCTGAAGAAGTCCAGTGTGATGGGAGGAGTTTCCACAGATGCTGTTTTCTCTGCAGTAAGTGAGTTTTCTCTGCAGTTCTGTGGCCAAAGGAATAAGCTTGGTTTCACTTATTGACCAAAATTGCTTACCTCCTCATGCCATGTGAGCACCTAGATCACCAAGGGGAGGGCTAGTCCAGTATCCAGAAGTTAATTCTCCTAATGCAGGAGATTATATGTTCAACTGAATACAGGACTCGCCTTGCCTATCCCCCACCTTGCCTCAGTTACTGAGACAAGATGCACATTTTTGGAGTGAGAAACTTAAACTTGAGCATTGTCCAGACAGGGAAAAAGAACAGCAATAAGGCTGGATTTGTTTTGCTATGTGAACTTCTGCCAAGCTTCTGCCTCTGAATCTCAGGCAAAATAGAATGGACTGAAGATATTATTATGGGCCCTTCGCTTGAATGAGCGTTCCATGCAGATTGTGTGGGATGTTAACACATTTGTACTTTGGTTGAATTTCTAATGAATGCATTTAACAGAGCCAACATCCTAGCCCTTGGCATAGAGGACTGTGGATTATTTCAGATAAATAGAATCCAGTGCATTATTTTTCAGTCTAACCAACAAGTCGGTGAGAGATGGGAAAATACTTTTTTCTACTGAAAAGTTTGTTAATTAGGTAACGACTCACCTTAAATTCTAGACTGGTTTGCAAACTGCGTGCCTGACTTAAATCGAAGAAGTTAAACTTACTGGAAATCTGCAGTAGCACTTCAGCAGCTTTCTGGCACAGAATAGCTAAGGACAGATTTGATTCAGTCTTGGTTTGTAGAACACTGCTGTATTATAAACTGGATGTCATTCAAAAATAGCTTGCTACTAATACATCTGAAACATACCATCTGTGTATTTATGATTGGACATAGGTGTGCCTGGTGTCTTGGGTTCCTTTTTCTCTTACCTTTTGCAGCAATCCTAAGGTGGGTTTTTTCTTTTCGAGTGTGTTGTAATAATTTTGGAACGTAGACCCAAGAGTTGCCTTAACATGTATCCCTCAAGGACCAAAACAACAACATGGTTCTACCAAGTTTAGAATAGAGAGACTTAGGGCAAAATTGTTTCACCTAATGCATGCATCCACAGATGCATCTCAAGCAGGTCCAGGGAGGTGATACTCCCCCTGTCTGTGGCCCTGGTCAGGCTGCAGCTGGAGGACTGCGTCCAGTTCTGGGCGCCGCACTTCAAGGGGGATGTGGACAATGTGGAGAGGGTCCAGAGGAGGGCCACTCGCATGATCAGGGGGCAGCAGGGCAGACCCTGTGAGGAGAGGCTATGGGACCTGAACCTGTTCAGCCTCCACAAGTGAAGGCTGAGGGGGGATCTAGTGCTGTTTACAAACTAGTCAGAGGGGACCAGCAGGCATTGGGGGAGTCCCTGTTCCCCCGAGCACTACCAGGAATGACTAGAAATAGCGGTCACAAGCTGGCAGAGGGTAGATTCAGAGTAGACATCAGGAGGTGCTACTTCACTGTCAGGGTGGCTAGGATCTGCAACCAACTTCCAAGCGAAGTGGTGCTGGCTCCTACCCTGGGGGTCTTTAAGACAAGCCTTGACAATCACCTTGCTGGGGTCGTTTGACCCCAGTACTCATTCCTGCCATGGCAGGGGGTCAGACTTGATGATCTGCTCAGGTCCCTTGCGACCCTACTAACTATGAAACTATGACCAAAGTGCAACTTGAGACTAATGCAAGGGTTTATAAGCTTGTTCCTACACTTATTTGGTAACACGTTTATTAGTCTGAAGTGCACATTGGTCATACACTAGGTGAAACATTTTACCCTTGGCTTATTAAACATTTGCATGTTGTCCATCTTCATTATATTGAATGAAATCCGGGGGTTGATGAAACAAAGGTTCCTCTGCATCTCTGGAGCCCTCTTAGCCTTTGATGTGGTAAAGAATCTGATGTAGTTGAGCATCCAGTCCAAAATTCTAAATCCTGTTACAAGAGCACGGTTTTAAATATAAATAAAAGCATTGGAATTCCTGTAGTGAACTTGGGCAAGTTGCTTAACTTTTTGTCGTGTCTGTTTTCCCTCCCCCCCCACCTCCTGTCCCCCTCACTTCTGTGTAATATACTGATACTAAAAAAATTAAACATCAGAATTCACCATCATTTTGTCATTTGGACAAAACTGGTACCTAGAAAATGCTGCAGGGAAAGGGACTGTGGCTAGAAACTGTCAAAACCCCTTTTCTGCACTGATAGATGCCTAGCTTCATGTAACTTGAAGCAGAAGTGGGGAAACTGCTGACTTGAATATCCTGGTTTTCTGTGCAGTCTCATTCATCAAACTACAGCAAGTTTCTATTCTTTAAATGTCATAACCATGAAAGGGTGGGAGGAAATAGAGTCCCTTTATAGAACTACACATAATTCACCAATTCAAGAGACAGTTCTTTATAAAAGAGACTATCTACAGCTGCTTATAAAGAACTGTGGACAGGGAAACCCATATCTGGCACTTTGACATTTTGGTTTACTGTGTGTGGTGATTTAGAAATTGTCCCTTCAGGCAATTTTCACTTTTTCTTTCTTTCTTTTTTTTTTTTTTTTCCCTCTAACTTCCCTTCCCCTCATCCACAGTGGTCTGCCGGAAAAACCTAGACAGCACAACTGTAGCAATTCATGATGCTGAAGTTTACTGCAAATCCTGCTATGGAAAAAAGTATGGTCCTAAAGGTTATGGTTATGGCCAAGGAGCAGGCACTCTCAACATGGACAGAGGGGAGAGACTGGGTATCAAGCCTGACAAGTAAGTTAAAGTCTTCACTGCATCTTACTGTAGTTGGAGCATGATCTTTGTTCTGAAGTTGTCTTCATATGTGTCTTAAAGGTCAAATGCTCTTGACAACCGTATCATGATCTGGCATCTAAATGCAAAAAAAAAAAAAGCAAAGAATCTTGTACTAGAGAACCAGTGTACATCTGAACCATGGTGCCCTTGCAGTCCTCATGTCAACTTCCATTGACATCACTAGAACTTGTCACTTGAATTTTTACCTGCTGCTAAATCTGTACTGCATCTGGGTTGTTATATTAGTACTGGCTTTATGCAGATACTTTTTATACTCTCTAGGACCTTGCTTGTTAAGTTCACATGCTAAGTAGGATCTGAATACTATGGTCCATTAAGCTGTGACATGACTTAAAAAATTTAAATTTATTTGAATGCGAGAATTATAAAGATGTTAATGTGTAGCAAATCTAATACTTCTTATTTTTGTTTTAAGCATAGGAACAAGTGCCTTAACAAGTAGCAAAAGTGCCAGGTCCAATTTAAAAGAAGAAAAAGCCTTGTTAAAGTGGAGTTGGGTAGAAGTAATTCAAAGTATATCACAGAGCTTAATCTAAGTAAGAGTTGACAAGTTAGGGCATCTATTGTCAAGATAACACTTTCTCTTTTTAATGACAAGAGAGGCCTCCAACTTCTTGGGGGCACTTGATGGACAGAATTAGTTCTTTGTGAAGCTCAGATCTAGCTTCTTAAATCTTAACAGCTGAGATTTGGATGATGTTGAGTGTGTGTAGTCAGCAGTACTAGTTTTTAAATTTGCAAAAGTGGTTCAGGCCTCAAAGCCAGTATGGCATGATTCAAAAGGATAAATAGGAAATGCTTTATTGTAAAGAAACATATCAGACAGTTGCTGCTTGCCTCACATTTTGATGCATGATTTGTTCATATCCTCCATCTCTTTATTATGCATAATTAGATATCCTTATTAACACCTGATGTTAAAGTTGTTTATCCTAATATACGCTAGCAGTGAGTTGCACATTGCATCTCTTCAGATATCCCCTATTTTCTTTGTGTTGGAGGGTAAGAGTACAAGACTTGTTTCTAAACCTCTGACCTGCTCCTTTCAGCACTCCTTCGCCTCATCGACCTACAACAAATCCAAATACTTCAAAGTTTGCTCAGAAATTTGGAGGTTCAGAGAAATGCTCCAGATGTGGTGACTCTGTTTATGCTGCTGAGAAAGTAATAGGAGCTGGAAAGGTAAGGTGGTATGGTAGTTGGGCTCCTTGTTAAACAGGTTTGGGTTGCAGATGTTGCAATTTACTTATGAGCTTGCTAGAGAGAACCTTGCTTCCTAGCATGTTCAGCCAGAACAGAGTAGGTGTGCCAGTAGAATGCAAAGTTCCTTACGATGGTGGTTCCTTAGAACAGAAAACTCCTATCCAAAGGGGTTATTTATAAACCAAGCCAGAACTGTGCAATTAATGGATACACTTTATTTTTTTGGCTTAGCAGCTATAGCAAAATGAATACTTTGGGGTGGATCGACTGTGGTGTTTGTCCTTGCCCAAAAAATACAAAAATACAAACAAAGAGCACCCTGGAATACTCTAGGCCTGGAGGTTCAGGCACTTTGGACAAATAGCAAGATGTGGGTTCAGATCCCTTCAGAGAGAAACTGAACCTGGGTCTTCAGCAATCTGAGTGCAGACTTGGGAATTAGAACAACCAAGTAAAAGTGAGTTGCAACTATGGCTTCAGTCCTTTGGTGGTAGTCTCTTGAATCTGTCGCTAAAACCATTACTTTCAAATGAGCCCTCTGAATTCCTCTCATAGTTCAAGAGGACTATAATAACTCCTTTTTAAAATGAGTTCTATATGCCAGCTTCCAATAGTCTCTAAGTTAAAGGTGAAGGAAGACTAAATAATTTGACAGCCCACCTGCTCAAGATTTCTTGATTTCTCAGTTACATGCATCAGTATTTAATTTCAACCTGCTTACTGTCCATGTTTAATAAGAACTACTGTCTCATGGGTGAGCGATCTAAAATGATTACACTAATCAACATATAATCCTAGAACTTTGTTTGTTTATCTGGCAGGAGTCTGTACTGGTGAACTTGTTGCTATCCAAGTTACTCTGGCTCTTGTCTTGTAACTAATATTTATGGAGTGTGTGCACTTAATTTTTGTTTTGTTTTTTTGGTGGGCGCCTTTCTCCTTTTAAACTGTATACTGTACTCTGTTTCCTCTTAGCCTTGGCACAAAAATTGTTTCCGATGTGCCAAGTGTGGCAAGAGTCTAGAATCTACAACCCTTACTGAGAAAGAAGGCGAAATTTATTGTAAAGGTAAGATGAACAAACATGTCCAAAGCCTAATTACTTACTGCTCAGAGGAGCATGCTGTCTGGAGAACAGAGATGCTCTAGTTAAGAATCTGGGTCCGTTTCTGGAGTAGAAATCTTGTGCTGACATAAGGAATCTTTTATCTTGACAGGGCTGAACAACTTTGAATTCATTATTGCTAAAAGCTGTGCAGTATCAAACTTAATGATGTTTACTTTTGAGGCCCAGAACTAGACAACTGACTGACTGGGTACTCTTCTAGTGTTCATGACCTGCTCTGCAGTGGTGGGGCAGTAGGAAGGTAGCAAACTGTAAAGCTGCCATAAAAATAGATTAGGAAATAAACTGACAGTTATCCTGACCATGCTTTGTGTAACCAAGCCACCTTACTCTTAAGACAGTAATTCTTAACCCTTTTAGACTTGAGGCACCCCAGGATAGATGCAAAAATACCACATGGAGAAGGCCAGCTTTTAGTTTTCACTTATTTTTGACCACAGAAAAATATTAGAGCAATCCTTCTATTGCAAAGAACTCAGAAAGACCACAGTGGGTCAGAATGTATTTAACTCAGTAGATTCCTGTTTGAAATCTTAGTTTATTTTGTGAATCATGTTTGCACACCTAACCATGCTAACATTCATTGTATGTCACTCTTGAAAGTCGCTCAAGGCACCCAGGGTGCCATGGTACGCCAGTTAAGAATCGCCGTCTAGAAATCACTTAAGTGCTGGTCTTCAGCTTTGGATAGTGCTGACCTGTGAACTGCTCTGTCTCTAAGGATGTATGGATGGCAGAAGCTTGCTTTTTTTTTTTTTTTTTCCCTCCCAAGGATTCTCACTCTTAAGGAAGTGATTTTCAAATATAGTGCTGTAATACCCTGGAGTGTTGTCAGATCTCTTGAAGGGTGCTGTGGGGTGTGGACATAAGGGTAGGCTGCAGCTGTTTGCTGCTTGGCCGCTGCCCTTCTCTCACTACCCAGCCCCTCTACAAAGAGGTAAACGCTAAATGAACTAGTCTTTTTAAATGGGGTACCTCAAGTCAGACAAGGCTGAGAATCATTGACCTATAAGTTTCATCTAAACTAGGTATTGGATAAAGGGACTATTTTTCAGAAATGCTGAATAATAGGAATTTCTGCAGGCTTCAAATAGGTGCTTGGTTTCTCTGAGAAGTCTGTTCACTCTCCTGCTTATGTATTTACCCAAATCCAAGACAACACTGGATTTAAAGATGACCCCTTGGTAATTTAGATTCTATACAAATTTATAAATGTGTGTGGTTTAAAAAAAATTCTATATATCAGTGCTAATTAGTGGAAAACCACCTCTTACATTTTCTGCCCTGCCCCCACCCCACTCCTGGAATGGGGAAAGCAGCAGCAGCAAGGGGTGACAGGCCAGACCCCAATCCTTGTTCCTACCTGCCACCTGTACCTGCACCCTCTTCCCCCATGCTGCTTACTTTCTGCCATAGCTCTGCTCTGGAGCAGTCAGCAACAGCTCCTCACCCAGTCCCACTCTGCTGTGCCAGGAAGATGTAGTGGCAGCTCACAGATGGGCTGCACCAGGGCTAAAGGGACTGAAACAAGAGCAGAAGGTAAGGGGAGGAGAGGAGGTAGCTGGGTTGTTTTTGGAGGGCTACACAGTCCCCTAGGCCACATGCATGGCTATCCACTATTTTGGCCCTGTTCCATCCCTGCCAAATGAGCCATCATGGCCTGAGGCAGGCAGTGACTAAGCTCTGGCTTCAGACTTGAATCCTGGGCTGAAGTTGACCCTGAACCACTGCCTGCCCCAGGCTGATACTCAGATCCAAGTAGTGCATTTTTTCTTACCCCCATGCTGATTGGGAGAGAATACTGTATTGACTTGATTCCAAGATGAAGTTAATTTCAGGCACAAAGTCTAAAAACTTAGACATAGTGGGCAAATAACAATGACTTTAAGAGGGACAACTTTTTTTTCTTCCTTGCAGGTTGTTATGCCAAGAATTTTGGTCCCAAAGGATTTGGATATGGCCAGGGAGCAGGTGCCCTTGTTCATGCTCAGTGAAGGAGGAGCTGAAGTCAACCTCCTGTAACTCACTGAAATTCTTCCTCTGTGAAAAGAAACTGCTTCTTATGTGTTACTAACTACTGTGAAACTGATACTAGTTTATTACTGCTAATGCAAAGTTTTTATCAAATATTAAAACACTGCATAATTCTCTTTGCTTGTGTATGCCATGTTAACACTACTATTCTTCTCTAATAAACCTTTTGCATAATATGACTCTTCTTCACTATTAAAAAAAGAAGAAAAAAAATTAAGTCTCTGAATGTCACAGTAAAGAGTGTGAGAGCAGAGCTGGAATTAGATGCTTGTAGGTGGTGTGATATTTAGATCCCTACTCAGCCTTCATGAGATGTTTCTTGTAGGGAGAGACGGTGTTAACCATGAAATTAGGCAGAAATCACCTTTTTAGAGAAACTCCTTGAGAGACTGGGGGGGGGGGTTCTTTTTTTGAACAAATTGCTATTTAAGGCAGGGATTCTTAACTGGGGAGCTAGGGTCCCTTGGGGTGCCATGAGATCATTTGAAGGGTGAGGTGTGAGGAAATGAGCAGATAAGCACAGGCTCAGAGTTGACCCCTACATAGCCATTCCCCCCTACCCCTGCCACCCTGCCCATCTGCAAGAAGATAAGCATGGTAAAACATGTTCATTTTTTGAAATGGGGCGCTGCTCAATTTACAAAGTTTGGGGATGGAGGGAATGAACATCTTAAACCTGTTGAGAGGTGCTGGAGCCTGAAAAAGAAAGATCCTATTTCAAGGCCTGTCTTTTGCCTAGTCTCTTAAGATGATGGGTGAGGAGCCATTGAAACCATGATAGAAGCAGCACAGAGCTTAAAATAAATATGAAATTCTCTACCTATGACAATCAATTGTAGCTCAAAGATCTTATTACCAGCAGCACAGCGTAGACCTCAGTGGCAGAGGGCTGAATCCATTCTCTCAACCAGTCATGGCAAAAAGTTTTTTTTCCAAGGATTCCCTTAATGGAGGACTTATGCCTTAAGTCTGTGCTTTTGGTAAAGAAAGGGAGGCATCTCCATCCCTGTAAATTTTCAAGAGCAGAAGAGATGGACAGATATACTAGGGTGATGGTTTAGTCAGAGATGATCCTGCCCCGAGTAGGGGTCTGGCCTAAATGATCTCATAAGGTCCCTTTCCAGTCCTGCTTTTCCTTTCTTCCTCAGTCACTTCCACTTAGGCCTGAGCAAGCAACCAGAAATCACAAGAATTGCTAAAGAACTGGGATTGCTTTAATTTACCCCTGTCTTCTACCTTGTTCACTTTGGAAGTGTGAGAGACAAAACAAGCCTGGCTCTACTACCTTCATTAAAATAAGAATTTTGTAAGGCGAGTTGCTACTCTCGACACTGAACAATCAGGGATTATTTCCCCAAGGGACCATTGGAGTAGCTGGGAAGCACAAAAGCATGATAATGTTCCCTTCAACTAGCTCTTGTTAAGGAAATGGTGTAAAAGTGCCTTGCTGGGAGAACCCTCCAAATTTGTTAAGCTACATTATGCCTGCTGTGTGCAGTTGGAGCAATGGAAAACACACAGTGCAGTTCCAAAAACATTAATTGGGCATCATACTTAGTTTTGCAAGGTTCTCTAACAACCTGGGAATGTCACTTCACTGGCAGGCTGAAGTGAGAAAGATTTGTTAAGCTGAAGGATAAATGCATTTGCACACTAAATTAGCCATTAATAAGTGGAGAACCAGGGTACTGCTTCTATCAGAAATGTGTTTATTTAACACACGAACTTGAAAGGAGAAAATATATCAAGGCTCCTGGGTAAGATTAACTTTGGTTCCTCTGTTACAGCCTGTAACCAGCCAGCACAGGCCCCTTTGTTAACTGTACCTTAATTCTTCACACCAATACCAGAGGAAACTTCATCTTTTGCCATGTGTGCTATAAAGGGCTGACCACCACTGTATGCCATATTGAAGCCAAACTAATACACTTCACAAAAAAGATGCACACTACATAAGCTGTAGTTAAATATTCCTTAACAGCAACTTATATTATTTGTTGTAGCCACAGTGAGCCAACACATGATTATGTAAGGGCACAGCATTAGCAAAAAGTTTGTATTTATGTTGGGCATGCTGAAGCCTTGTTCATTTTCTATCTATAATAAACTTTTTAATTTTTAAACAGAAATGATTGTATCAATAAAAACAGAAGTCCACATATTTTCTGGAGTCACGATCAGTTATGACGCCATGTTACTCCAGGCTCTCAGGTAAGTGCGTCATTGAAACCACAAAAAAGCAAGGATGCAAGCTTGAAACTAATGCCAGAAATGTCACCCCTTCCCAACAAAAACAACTAGACTGCCACCAAGATGGCTGCATCCCTCTTGCACGTAGGGCTGGTAAAGATTCCAGTTGCAACCAGTCCTTTTTATGAATATCCGCTCAGTTACCCCAGAGCTTGGAGTAAAACTTCCCGGAATGGACCTCTCTCAAGCTATTCTGGTGTAACCTCAAAGCCAAACGGTATTGATTCTGTGGCCTAAAGGTCTCTTATTGGTATTTAGGATACTATTTGGGTAATGCGAATACAGGGCACATATCAAATTTTAACTTCTCACTGAATTCAGTCTGGATTTGGTTGATACAACCCCGTTAAATTTTGAGAGAGATGCAGGGATGTAAGCTCAGAGAATGGATAACAGTGATGGGCACCTGACTAGGATTAATTTGGTATTAGGTTAGGGTACATTGCTTGGTGTAAGCGTGTGAAGTAGCCTGTGCAAAGGTCTACTTGCAGATATTACAGAGGGAATGTGTAATGGCAAAGCTTGTTTCAAATACTATAGCACTAGACAAAGGACTAGCCTCTCGCACCTCAGAAAACACCTTCCATTGCCCTTCCAGTTCCTGCTGCTTGCAGTTGTCTGCATTAAAAGGTAGAACTGAAAAATCCATCACAAAGGGTCCTTAAGGAAAGGACCCTTGATCCTCACAGGGTAAGCACAGGTGCTATATATTTACATCCCTGAGACAAGCCAGTCTTCATTCCCAGCTATCCCTTCTTACTTTCAGCAAGTCACAAGAAATGAACAGCAGTGTTCCCTTCCCATACTTCCATTTGGTTTGGTGAGATCCATACACAAAGTCCTTTCCATGTGAAGTTTAATGGGGTATGATCAAGCTTTGGGTGTGCACTAAATGCAGAGGAGTGGAATACAGGCATACAAGCAGCAACAAGAAGAATCTGGAAAGGGCAAGCAAGCCCTCTGCTCTATTTGACATTTCAGGAGTTGTTGCTGCAACATCCCTTTCACTCTTTCAGAAGGCAATGATGGTGAATACAATTATATTGCCCAGCTGCTAAAAACAATTCAAATTACGCTTATTTACCTCATCATGCCACTTCTTTGGCTGGCTGACATCAGACCCAAATTCTTCTGTCACACCAAAGTCAGGAGCCTAGTCAATTCAACAGGTGCTTGGCTATGGTCAAAGAACATGTCACAGCTCAGTCCAGGATTGTTAAAGTAGCTACAAGCTCTCATTCCATGGTGCTGATCAAGTGTGAAGCCAGCACCAATTTGGTCCCAGGGATAAATGGAAACTACCTAGATACATAAATTTAACCCAAAAGTCAAAGAGTCCTATGGGGCCATTCTGGGGCAGCCAAGGATCATCAAGTTATTAATGATTCCTCAGCATGCTCCATATTTCCTTCATGTTCCTGAGTATTTTGGTAAGAGCATAGAAGTGTGGAAGTTACTACTCAAGTTTGTAGCTACAATCCACTTTGTTTAGAGGATGTCTACTGTCCAGCTAATTTGGTTTAAATTACGCTAGATTGGCCTTGAACACCTACAACCCACAAAGTTTAAATATTTCAACTTCATTTTATCCTAGTACGAAATACTGTGTGCGCGCGCACACACATGCATTGTTTTGACAATATTAAATGATGTTTTAGCAATGAAAGAAAGAGGCCACTTTCTATTTTAATTATTTAAACACTATCCAAAAGGTGAGATTTTTACAAGAGATTAATGGTATGTCTAATATGAAACACTAGAGTTCATTGAGACCTCGTTTAGAGTGAGTTTGAGTGCCAGAAATGGGGTCACCATATTAGCCTTGCCTGCTTCTTACCCCGATTGGCCTGCATGGCAGGTTATGCTAATGTGACTACAATGATTTTGGCATCTTAGCTAGCTTGGCTATCTACAGAAAATGGGATTGTGCCATGTAGACAACTTAAATGGTTTAAGACTAGGGGTCAGCAACCTTTACAAGTGATGGGCCAAACTAAAGCAGCTTGGTCCCAGGTGGGGTGCCACCTGCAACCCAATTACCACTGCCACTTCCCTTACTGCTGCTGTGCTTGCATCCTGGGCTGAAGTTGTAGCTGTGCAGGACAGATGAAATTGCTTCACGAACTGGATCCAGCCTTCTGGGCATACTTTGCCGACTCCCGGCTTAGACTAGCCCGGGTCAGCTTCAATGCAACTTGTTTTTCTTAGGCATTTTTTAACAGTTTACCCTAAAACTGAACTTATTCCACATTTGTGACAGGACTCTACCAGAGGGGGTCCTCCGCCTCATTACAGCTGGCCCCGTTGCCCACAGTCCCTTCACAAACCACAAACTCGCTTTGCTGTCAAAAGTAACCATGGAGGTGCCTTGCTTCTACATTAGGCAGAGGAGGAACCTGATGATGACCATGTCCCATGGGGCTTGCAGGGTTTCTGGTGTGCACTGGTCCCCTGGGCTGTCCTGTAATTTATGCAGTTGAAGTTAAGAGTCCTGGGCCCTGTGTCCCACTGGGCTTGGGGTCCTTGTGTCTTCAGCCCCTTCTCCCAGTCTATGAAGTCCCTCCTTGCTTCTGCCCCTCTGGGGTCTAGGACCCAGAGCCCCAGGATGGGCAAACCCACAGCCTATCTTCTAGGCAACAGCAAACATCCAGCTCAGGTGCAAGTCTTGCAGCTTTTATGCCTGCACCATCTGGCTTATTCCCCTGATGCGAGCATCTCTCACATCACTCCTCATCTCCCCTTCTAGCTGCTCCTGGTCTATCAAGTGTCTGTTAAACTGAAATTCCAACTTAGGCTCATCTCCACCTTGGGGTAAATGGACCCAGTCAATAACCAAAGCTTTTGCCCCTCAGGCTTGCTACTTGAACAAAGAAATACCAACTGAGGCTTTTCCTACCCGCCAGTCTATTTACTTAATTTGCATCAGCCTTCCTTCAGTCTGGCAAGGACAA